ATTTGACAATAAATTTCATATATTAAAAAAATAATAAAAAAATAAAATAAAAATCATATTGGAAACGATATCAGACAAAAAACACACAAATTCTCTGTTCTTTATCATCTAGGCAAATACTCTGGGAAGTGGGATATTACCTATCGGTGTAGTCTCATCAGAAAAACAAGTTGTCAAGTGCGAGAAGGGTTAGGGCTGCTGTGTGTAAAGCGTCCCCCACAATTCTTGTAAGTCCGTGACAAATAAAAGCTACTTTGAAGAGGCTAGCTGATCCTTTCGTATTTTTGACTCCCCCTGGGACAGTGTGCTCTACCTTTTCAATTCAGTTTAAATTCTCAGTATATGAAAATGATGGTATTAATAGCAGCCCGACCCTTGGGGCTGAGGAAGGCTGTGCCCAGCATTACACAGGGAGCTGGTCTAGGCAGGTAGGATTGGGCTGGACTCCTGCTCAGTGCTGTTCCCAGCGGTCCCCCCTTCCTCTCACTGGATCTAATTTACTTTTGTAAGGGCTTTTGTCATCCTTCGTCTTCCCAGGAGGTAGTAAGGGGTGGAGATGGAGTTCCAGGACAGCTAATGGAGCCATTTCAGAAAGAGCCACTGTCTTCTCCTGATCATTTTAAAGGGCAGAGCCGCACGGACACAGACAATCCCATCGCCAGCCACTTTTGATTTTGCCATCTGAGGGAACGCCGGCTGACCATTTTCTCTGTGTTTACAGTTGACTCACACCTGCTTTCCAAAGATTCAGGGAGGGAAGGAAGTTGAAGAAGTGTAAAGCAGGAGTCTGGGAGCTTGCTTGCATGCTCTCCCCTTGAGCCTTCCCTCCCTCCTATTCTCTTCCCTCCCCCACCTCTCTGTCCCTCCATCTCCCTCCTTCCCCCCCACCTTGTGTGTGTGTGCGCGTGCGCGTGCGCGCACACGCGCGCGCACACACACACACACACACACACACACACACACAAAGCTTTCTCCACAAACTGCTAACTGTTGATTTCCTATCTCTATTTCAACCAGCACTGAAATTAATTCGACTACACTTCCTCTCCCTGATGTAGGAGCAGCCAGCACTGGGCATGGAACCAGGAGATCTGAGTATGAGGCTCTGCTTCATCATTTTCTAGTTATGTGCCTTGGGCAATTCACTCCACTTCCTTGAGCCCTATTTTCCTCACTATAAAATGGGACGGTTCTACTAACAGTTCAAGGTTATTGTAAGGATCAAAGGAGATAGCTTCACATACCTCAGTGGTTAATGTTTAAAGAAATTTAAAAAAAAATTTCTGTTTATTTTTGAGAGAGAGAGAGAGAGAGAGACAGAGACAGAGTATGAGCAGGCGAGGGGCAGAGAGAGGGAGACACAGAATCGGAAGCAGGCTCCAGGCTCTGAGCTGTCAGCACAGAGCCCGATGCAGGGCTTGAACCCACCAACCACAAGATCGTGACCTGAGCCGAAGTCAGACGCTTAACCGACTGAGCCACCCAGGCGCCCCTCAGTGGTTAACACTTTTTTTAATTATAGTAAAATACACATAACTTAAAATTTACCATCTTAAACATTTTCAAGTGTACAATTTAGTGGTATTAAGGGCACTCGCATTGCTGTGAATGTCCAGAACCCCTTGAACCGTGCAGAAGTGGAAATCTGTAGCCATTACACAATAATTCTCCACTCTCCCTACCCCGGGCCCCCGGCAACCACCACGCTACTTGGTCTCTGGTTTTGACAACTCCACGTACCTCACGTAAGTGGAACCATAGTATTTATCTTTTTGTGACCAGCTCATTGCACTTAGCACACTGTCCTCCAAGTTCATTCGTGCTGTAGCATGTGACAAAACGTTCTCCTTTTTAAGGCTGAATAATATATCATTGTATTTATGTACCACTTATTGTCTATCCATTCATCTATTGGGTGGACACCTGGGTTCCTTCCACCTTTTAGGTATTTTAAATAACTCTCCTAAGAAGATGGATATGCAAATATCTGAAACTGTGCTTCCAATTCTTTTGGGTGTTTGACCCCAAGTGGAATTGCTGAATCAGAGAGTAATTCTATTTTTCATTTTTTTATATTAAAAAAAAATTTAAGTTTATTTCTTTATTTTGAGAGAGAGAGAGAGAGAGAGAGAGTGTGTGTGTGTGTGTGTGTGTGTGTGTGTGTGTAAGTGGGGAAGGAGCAGAGACAGAGAGGGAGGGAGAGAATCCCAAGCAGGCTCTGTGCTGTCAGCCCAGAGCCTGACGTGGGGCTCGAACTCACGACTGTGAGATTATGACCTGAGCCGAAGTCGGACATTTAACCGACTGAGCCACCGGGTGCCCTCGGTTTTTGATTTTTTGAGCAACCACCATGCTGTTTTCCATCACAGCGATACCATTTTATATTCCTCCTAACAGTATGTAGGATTCCAGTTTCTCCACATTCTTGTAATGCAGATTATTTTTATAGTAGCTATCACAATAGGTGTGAGGCAGTCAGTGGTTGATATTTTCAACCGAATGTCATGATGACTATTTTTGGCTCTTTACTATCTGAAGCCACATGAGCTACAGTATATTGGTTGGTAGATTTTAGTTTCCTCAGGAACGATTAGGATAAACCCTAGCAGGAAATAAAATTATGGACCGATAACCTCCAGACCAGAGTCCTGTGTAAAGATCGTTGGTTCAGGAGGAAGCAAGCCTTCTTAAACCTGGTTCACTCCTTCGTAAACAAATGCTCATTCAAGGTCCATGATGTGGGCAAAACACTGTGTGAGACACGGCTCAGCTCTTAAATATTACATTCTAATGTCAGGGAGGGGCAGAAAATAAGTGGATACACATGAAAATATTAGAGACCGATGCCATGTGGTTTAGTGAAGAGTGGCTCGGTTCCCACCAGCGACTTCCTGAGCCACCATAGGGAAGTCATTCCCTTCTCTGTGCTTAGTCATCTATCACATGTAGCAGTTGACCCTAGTGATCTCCAAGGTCCCTTCCAGCACTAACATTTGGACTTCACTTTCCTTGTTATGGGAAAGAGACGTGACACATTCCGTTGCTGATTATTCATCACCCATAGAGGGGGCGTCAGGGCAGAGGGCATGAGGCAAGGTGCATGAAGATGGGAGGGGAGGTGCCCAAGGGGCCATGCCATGCCTCATTTTCCTGGGCCCACAGCAGGTCAGTGTCCACATCCTGTCAATGTCAAGTCCTAAGAAGCCCACAAGCCTGTCCCTTCTTTGTGCACGGCCACTGCCTCTGAGTCCTCCTCGCGTGTGGCCATGACTTCCTCTGTCTGCTTCTACTCCAGGGCCCTCTAGTCCACCACTTACCTGGCTGTTCGACCAATCTGATGACAGACACACATGTGATCACGTATGTCCCCTGTTCAGAATTCTTCAGCGTGGCTTCCCCAAAGCTTGCAAATAAGCTCGAACTCTTTTGCTTAGCAAAAAGGCCCTCCCCAATTCCAACTCTGTTCATATTTCGACCTGATAGCGGGCCCTTCCCCCAACACGCCTTCTTCCCTCTGGCCTCACTAAATTACTGACGTCTTCCCAAACCTGTTTTGCTTTATCATGCTTCTGCGCCTTTGAGTGTGCTTCTTCCCTCTACCTGCAACACCCACGTTTCTCCCAATTTCCTGAACTAGCAAATTCCTGTTTGCTCACAATTCAACTCACGTCACCTCGAAATAGTCATTGGTTTCTTGCCATGTGCTAGGCATGAGGGTTGCAAGGACGAATGAGAATTCCTGACCTTTCATATGTATATACACAACGGAGTATTGCTTGGCAATCAAAAAGAATAAAATCCTGCCATTTGTAACAACATGAATGGAGTTAGAGTGTATTATGCGAAGCAAAATTAGTCAGAGACAGACAAGTATCGTATGACTTCCCTCACAGGTGGAATTTAAGAAACAAAACAGATGAACGTAAGGGAAGGAAAGTAAAAATAATATAAAAACAGAGAGAGGGACAAAATCTAAGAGACTCTTAAATACAGAGAACTAACTGAGGGTTGCTGGAAGGGTTTTGGGTGGGGGGATGGCTTAAATGGGTAATGGGCATTAAGGAGTCTATCCTGAAATCATTATTGCACC